GACCTCCAATTGTTCAGACAAGTTGCCATTCAAAAACTCCATCACTTGCTATTGGACAGTAAGTCATATATTCCACATAACACCAGATGACAAATTGCATCCCTTCAGGCTGGTAAATGTGAGTAGTTGCTTGAGCACAGCTATGTGATTGTAGTAGCCGAAATAATGTACTTTGCTATAAACCCAGTGATGATGAACTCCAGATATTGTGAGTTAGAATAAATGCAACAATTTTAGGATTGAGGGCCTGTAAAAAGTTCCCCAAAAAGTTGTTTAGGAAAAGTGAATTTTGCTTTGTCAAGCCTGCCTTTTGTTCAATAAATATGTGTCAGATTGATTAAACTTTATTCATATCATGCTAAAAAACGTATTCTCAAGATACAGTCTAATTTAAGCCAATGTATTCCAATAATAATGTAATGACCCAGTCCACTGACATTAGATCCCAACATAGTCCAACCCTTAAAGAATTCATTCAAAAGCAAAAATCCTTGCAGGGGAAATCAACAGATTGTACCAAAACTTCTTAGCATGTACAAGAAGAATGTTGGAAGAAAAAACTTTTAACACCAAATAACCAGACTCAGGAAGGGTGACAACAAGCTCAGTGACACCCGACCAGAGATATCTTCTTCTTGTCAGTCCAGTACCTTACCTTCCTCTTATACCACCATGTCTATGTTAAGTGTGCAGAAAGGGGTTCTGCCAGTGGTAAGTACAATTTTCCGTGTATCTGTACTTTACTTAAGTAGATTTAATAATGGATACTTTCTACTTTTACTCCACTACATTTAACAGTAAGTATCTATACTTTCTACTTCACTACATTTCTATACAGCATTTCGTTACTCGTTACATCCAAGACGCATTTCGGTTTTTTGATTTGTTTGTTAGTTTGAAAGTATCCAATGGCGAGAGCAGAATCAGTCCGCTGAACCAATCCAAAGCGGGAAATAACCATTAGGCCCTCCCTCAAGAAGAGCACAGTACGCAGGACCTGCATAAAATATCTAAATCTAAACTGTCACAGGGGGTAAACACAATAAAAACATGCTTTATTTGCAGCCTTGCTCATTAAAATGGTACATTACTGATTTATTAAAACTAAATACGATAGGTACACTTAATGACATTATATAAGCCGTTAGGTATTATGGTTGGCAAGTACTTTTACTTTTAATACTTAAGTAGTTTTAAAAGCTTGTACTTTCTTACTTTTACTTAAGTAAAATAATAATGTGGTACTTTGACTTTTACTTGAGTAAATTTTTGTCTGTGTATTTGTACTTTTACTTAAGTACATGGTATGAGTACTTTCTCCACCACTGGGTTCTGCATTGCCTTACTGAAGAAATACATCCCCTAAAATGTTTCTTAATGCATTATCCAAAAAGATCTGAAAAAAGATCTGTTTAAGACCCACAAAATAGGATAATTCTTTCTTCAACCACAATATCAAATGTGTCTTCACCTGCCAGATGAAAAAAAAGCCATAAACTATTGGACAACTTAACAAGACAGTGCCACTAAATAACAGTACTGACACAGTTAAGGAGGGTGTGCCAGGCACACACAGAGGTGAAAAGAGGGAGGACAGGAATGTTGGCTGCAGATGAAAGCAGGGGCATAGGCTTGGAAGTGTAAAAGGTCTTTATACACCAGCCTGTTGGTATAATAAGCCAGATTCGAGAGAAAAGAGGAAGAAACAAGCCAAAGTACCTCAAAGTCTGTCATATGCTTATCTGCCCCCCTCCTCTGTACCTTACAACTGTCTTTATCTTTCATTATACGAGCCCCAGTATTAGAGTTTTATTGACAACCACTTATCTGGTTTAAATCATGATGACTTATAACGTAGACTGTTTCTTCCAGACTAATGACACAAATCACAAACAAACAAACAAACAAACAAACAGAAAAAACATTAAAAAGATGGACAAAAAAACTTCAAAACTGTCTTTAAAGTCATCATAAAATCATAATATAGCTCACTATAGGATGATACAAAGAACATTTGCATTGATTTGCATCATTCAACCAAATAGTGTAACGTGTTTCCATTTAGTTGCTGGAAGTAGATTTCCCTAAGTGGATTTGTTCTACCAATTCCTTGAACTCTTGCCTATGAGAAAATAAGTGAAGAGAAATAAAAAGAAAAGAACATTTTTACAGAACTATGAAGCTAAAAGATATTGTATGGAAGGAGAAAAGCATATAATTTACTAAATTTAGCAAACAGTGTGTAATGAGGCTGATATTGGGGAAATGTGCCATGTCTTGGCAATACCATTCGGTATTCTGGAGGTAGAGTTTTAGATCTATTAAAAGATTCATATTGGAGTTTAATTAACACCTAGCAAATACGATATTACAGCTGCCTAATCTCGATGTGATGAATGTATAGACAAGGATTTAAGCCAGAATACTTCTGCTTTTAGATGTGTTCCTCTAAAGAGCTATTCAGTATAATCAAATATAAAAATGAAAAAAACATAATTTCCGTAATTTCCTTTGCAATAATTCTAGAGGGCAAAGTAATGCAGTTGAGGGTAATTGCACATAATTATTGAGGATATTCATAGGTAGAGACTTGGAGTTTACCCATTCCTTAATGTCCCTGAGACAAACCAGAAGCTTCAGTAACTGAGGATTTTCCTGAGGATTTACTTATACATAGAGCTGACTGTTATCAATCCAAATATAAATATATCTCATGATATTGCTTTATGATATTGCCCAAATGTGGCATGTGTCCAAAAAATGGAATTGTCCCAGATCTGTATCTCTGTGGAATACCAGAGGACACATCAATTACAAGTACAAACTCAAATCTATCTGGAAAGAGAAGTATACTTATTTTCAATGCCACGTTCAGGTCCTTGAGAAAATATTCATCATAAGATATCATTCTATTTAGAGATATCAAACATAATCACATGGGTCAGACACAGATGTAAGATCAAATCTAGTTTCCGCTGATTTAAAACTACTTTTCCAAAGATCTTAGGGATGTAACAAAGGCTAGCCACAGAATTGATTTATCTGTGTAACAAATTTGTGGGATTTTATTGGTTGAATGATTAATTTTTATTATTAAAATCACAAAAGCATGGGTCCTCATTTAACAGATTTATGTTTTTTTTCTGGTTTCTTGTAATCAGCATTAACAAACATTACGTTTAAACATTCAAATTGACATAATTTAATCATTTTGTGAAGAAACTTAAGTTTGGTAATGTGAGGTGAAGTTAAAATATACATTTTTGCTGACTTTTTCAATTTCTCTGATTTCAAATATTAACACTCCTTACCTTAACTAGTACAAATAAAAAACCTACACAAAGAAATGTGGTATTGGCCAGAATGATTGTATACTCTAGATTGTATATACATTATAGGAAAATATCATATAAGAAAAGAAACACAACCAAAATTTCAAAAATGATGGTATGTTACTGGCAATATAATTTCAGAAACATTTGCATCTAACACTTTTCAGTTGGAATTTTTTTAGCTCTTTTATTCCTTTTTGGTCAAGTTTAGTTGTCGACCAATTCAGCAGTCCATCCATCCATGTTTTCCATTTACTCTCACTGTTTAGGCTGGTCCCACAGCATGAAAGAGCCTTCATCATGTTTTACTGTAGGATAGATGTTTTACTTACTACTACATTTCCCGTAGACGAAAGGTGTTTTATCAAATTTTATTTTCGCCGTTATATTAGTGACTACCACTATTTGTGGAACCTTTTGAAAAATTATATTTGGAAACTGGAGTCCTGCTGTTATATGGGCTGAAATCAAAAGCCATGAGATAACTGGGATTCCCTAAAACCATGAGTATGGGACTTGAAGACAAAGCTATCTTTTATAATTGTGTATTTTGATAGTATGATATATCTGAAATCACCAACATTATCATTAAATAGACATTATTTATGTCTTGGTACCAATATGACACCTACATAACATGAAAGAACTCACAAAAATAAAAAATAAATAAAGTAAAAAACCTGCTTTATTTATGATTTCTCCAACAAAAGTGTAACACATCAATACTCTCAACTAGTATTTGGTTTTTATAACGTACAACACAATTTATAGAAATCACCTGGTCGCACAGGATTGTCCTTTTGCATAAAGCTTGATGTAAATATTTTGGTTCTGAGCTACATTCGAGCTACATTCTAGGGCCCATATTTCAGGATTCCCACCGCAGTGTAATTACAGTGTCCAAGCTTTAACTTTAAAGTTAACTTTACTTACTTAAGTTTAAGTTTCAAGAAATGGATGATCTTTTTTTTTATTTGGTGTGTGTGCGTTTCTTTTTTTCCATATTATCCGTGTATTTAGTGTAAATAAGCAAGATATAAGCCCTTATTTGTTGGTTGTTTGCAATGTCCTTTACTTCATTATGCTGACTGAAAACCAGAGTTGCGCCGGTCCCTCCGTTCATGTCGTGTGATTTGTGAGAATCAGTGACGCGCAGCAACCAATGAGCGCGCTGTGTGTGCCAAGTTAGGGCCGACTTTGCGCTCTGAAGAGGAGGAGGAACACACACCTCATCTTCGGTGCCGGCTGTCTTTTCACAAAACTCGGTGAAGTTAGACTGTCACAGAGAAAATAAAATTTACCAACGGATTTTTAAAAATCAGGTTTCATCTCTCCTTTAGGTGTAACTACAGGTTAGGATCTCAGTGTTTCCCCTGATGCGACTTGTGTCGGACTCGATTGTTTTAAGCAGTGAGCATTTGAGGACCCTTCAGCTGGAATGGAGTGGAGGGCAGACCCACCTGAGCCCGCCAGAACAAATTGGCCACGTTCTCAATGAGAGGGAACTCTGAGCCGTTAGTCTAACCTTTAAAAGTCTGATTTATGGAGAGTGAAATGCTTCTCTGAGAGTCTGCCTACTTTTTTTTTTATTAACATCGATGCTTGGTTGCCTTATGATGACCCCCACTTGGAGGTAATACCCAACCAAATCTCTGCCCATCGCCCCCAATGATGACTATGAGCTCTATGTCGGACACTTTAGTCCCGACTGATCCGTCCAAATCGGCATTTTTGGAGTTCGGCGGCCACGGTTACCCCGGACATCAGCAGACTCCGGGATTGTCTCACAACCATTACTCAGTCCACGGCTTGCATGCTGTCGGGCCCTCGCAGCATGAAGGGCCCTTCTCCACCGGAGGACCTTACGGTCGCCCGCTGGGTTACCCACCTTACCACAGTCCGGTGACCGCGCACCATCCCGGGACATACTTGCCCTACCAGCATGCGGGCCACGGAGGCGCACTTGGACACACAAGACTGGAGGATTCCGGTACGTTCATAGTAGTATGAAATTATTCATTTATTTCTGAATTAAACTTAACGTAACAATATGGGTACGTATTTGTCATAAAAAAGGGTTTGACAGATATAAAGTAAACAGAATAGATATAATTAATAGGAATACAATTGTAGTCTTTAAAAAAATGATCAAATTGTAGAGATAAACGCGGCTTCTATCACATCCATGCCTCACGATGCACGAAATGAACGTATATTTTAGTGGAAGAGTGGAACCATAAAAGGTTTACAGTCTAAAAAAAAATAATTCCAGCTGAATAATTTGATCCTCACACACTTACACACGTCTGTCGAAGGTGCGTGTTTGTGCGCTTTATGGTTGGACTGGAGAGAAGAAGGCCCGCACAGTTGGAACACCAGGGACGCACCCCGCCGGGTCCTGCTCGGCCCTCAGAACTGCTCTCCAAACTTCCACCATCATCACTACTTTCTCCCTGTCACAGCCTCATTCTTGAAAAATAAAGAACACAACGAAAACCCTGACCTGTAAGGGAAATTAGCACCATTAGGGCAGTAGTGATCATTTCTTAACATTCAATGTGTTTTAAGAGACCAAAAACAGCCAAAATATATAATAATTCTATGGATTATATTCTATTTCTAGAAAGAGGGTAAATAAAAATAATCAAATCTAACAGAACATAATACCAAACATGATAATCCGTTTAAAAGCAAATATTTAAAAGCAAAAGTGTATTGGTTTCCTTGGCTGTATTGCAAAAAAGAGAAACATTTTATGAGCAGGACAGTTATATATGAATTGTATTTTAAAGGCCTGAACTGGACTGTTGTTGATCATCCTGAGGTGGCGTTTGTTATGATTCTGCTGAATTGAATTCTTATGATCAATATACACTCTCCTTTTTTATTAATATATTCATATTAATAGACAAATACTGCAGACTCAAGGGGCTTTTTGTAAAGTATTAGCTTGTATATGTTTCTACAATTGCTAAAAAGCTTTCAATATTAAATGTAATGGCAAAAAAATATATATGTAAAAAGGTTTTGATTTTTGGCCATCCACACATTCTTTTAGTGTCTTTTTACCTGTACTGGAACTAATTTGGTCATTGGTCACTGGTGTCACAGCAATAGGTCTATCGTGATTTTAGTGTTTTTTCTTTATCAAATGTTAAACTTCCCATTTGAACGCAACTTGAATACATCACAGACTAAAAGCCAGTCAAGTTGTCCAGCTTGCAAACATTCAAAGATTTTTTGGGAAAGATAAACATTTATTTGTACCCCCCGTCCTCTGCCCCTCGATTAGTGAGTTTCAGAGTCGGTGCTCCTTTTCAAAAGCTGCAGTTCAGTTACAGAACCTGAGCACCTTGTGGGGCCTCGGCTTGTCCACAGCTGTTCTTCCCTGCCACTGCAGGTTGTAAGCTCAAGTCATAACAAAGATCAGCATGCACAACTTATACAGAGTATAGCTTTCTCTAAGAAGAAAGGAAAAAAGCCACCTCAGTTGAGCGGTGTATATGATTGAATACCTGTAAACCACACTGATTTTGAAAGGATTAGCAGGATTTATTTTGCACACACTGTTATATACATATAGACTTGTTTTTTAAGTAGTAAGTATATGTTATAATTCAGTCCAGTTTTAAATCAACATTTGCTCCTGTCAAACAAAACCGCAGGGTTTTAAGCTTGGTTAACTTTATATCATAAAAGTAGTTTCTTTTCACCTAACAATGATGTTAGTTTTTAAAGTTATTTCAGTATTATATCAACTTAGTTTTATATTTTGTTTTGAATATTACAGTTTACCTCATATATTATTATGTATAACTATTTGAAAATCCATTTTTGTTCATAATTTGCACTTTTAAGTGTGACATGGTTTTATTATTGTTTTGTCAGCATTTTAGATGGTACGTTTTTTTAGAAAATCCTTTAAAGAAAGGATGTGTTGAGGTGGAAATTAAATATCAGATGTTGAAGGTGACAAAATTGATCAATAAAATCGACAAAACATGGAAAGGAAAACTTTGATTTTTTCAATTAAAAGTACATTTTTGATTCAATTAGGGGCTTGTATATTGAATGCATTCCAACTTTCCTCAAAAAATTTCTTTTATATGTTCATCCTTACTAAGTTTTAAAATTCTTCCATGCATTTCGCTTTCTTTTTTTTTTTTTGGCATGAAAGCTTTTATCTAAAGGTCCGGCTTTGGCTCCTTTAAACGCTCAGTATTGATGTTTATCTCAGGAAAATTGTTCTTTAACTTCTCATTATTCAGAGCATGAGAAGCCCACAGCGGTGATCGAGAATGGGGAGGTGAGGCTGAATGGAAAAGGCAAGAAGATAAGGAAGCCTCGGACCATCTACTCCAGTTTGCAGCTCCAGGCACTCAACCAGCGGTTCCAGCAAACACAGTACCTCGCCCTCCCAGAGAGGGCCGACCTGGCAGCCAAACTGGGCCTCACTCAGACCCAGGTAACACAGTTGATAAGATACATGTGAAATGATATGTAATAAATTAAAGTGAGCTATTTCCTATGTTGTACAATGAGAAAAAAACTCCCAACTGTAACCATAATCATTTATATATATTTTATTATTTGAAGGGAGGCCTGGAATAAGAATTAAAATTATTGTCCATATACCTTTACAAAAATGTATTATTTACTATTTTGGTGTTGAACTATCAAAAACTTTTAAAATAGCTTTTGAATAGCTTTTATCAAAATATAACCTTCTGAATGAACAAAATCTAAGTCGGAATCATTGTTCAGAGTGAAGAGAAATCAAAAGCCCAAACAGGCACCTGTACATTCTTGCTAATGGGTGCCACCACTCATACTCATTGAAAAAAATCTGAAAATCATTAGAATATGAGTCACAGAAAGAGTTATGAAATCAATGCAAAATACATTAAGCCTATGATCTGAACACATTAAATCAAACAGGGTGGCACTGAATGCATGTTTCTTCAGTTGTGGTAGAAATAATCTTTTCTATTGGTAATTTTCCCCATTTATTACTATGCTATAGCACTTTCCCTTCATTCCAAAGTCCACTTACTATTCCTGTTGGACATCTTGTCCACCATTAATTAGCCATCGTATTTGCCATACAAAGTTGATAATTAACTGTGGTATTTAAACTTTCATTCGTTTGATCCAAGCCAGGATATTCATTATGCTCTACTCTATACTTATTAATACCTTTTGTATCAATAAGTACTACAGGAGCCGTTTCCTTTTCACTATCTATAAAGACAGATGCTATGAACTCCATATACATGGGCAGCTGATTTTATCAGATGAACAGTCCTAATCCCCTATGAATTAACCACTACAGCTATGTTTACACTTGGAATAAAAGATAATCTGTTCATTTGCCTTTGCCTTTTGTGGCGAATAAGAAATTCTAATTTTTGTCTACTGCAGTTTATCTTCACATAGATGCTTAATAAAGAAGCACAATATTTGCATATTTATTTGTGCATTTAACAGACTACATCCAAATCTCTGCTCTATATGTGTCTAAAACTCGAACAAGGATGTTAGCAAAAGATACATGATAATTATAGATAGATAAATGAAGAAGCAGATTTATGGTTTTGGCATGAATATTGAAGGTTTTCAGGACCTTTTCTTAATCCCTTATTTGTTACACACAGCAGAAAGTACCCTTTTATGAAAATCCTATTGAATAATAGATGTTAATAGTCACATTGAGGGACTCAGTGACAGACATGGTAACTAAATGGGATGATAATGGTTCCTTTTTAAATCAACAAGTGCATTGAAAAGCAAGTAGTAAGAAGGAGTTAGGTCACAGTTTCCTTTTGAAGTTTAAAGGTAGCTAGTCAATTTTCTCCAAAATGGCTATTCTCCTCGCTTTTTGTACCTTGACTTTTTAGTTGAATAACAACATATATTATCTATATACAAGTTTAGATAAAGCACTGTATGAGGGAAGGTATAGTAGTGAATTCACACGCTAATCAAAGTGCAAAACTGCTCTTTAATAAATTTATGAGCTTTGTCAAAGGCTGCAACCCCTGGTTTTTCTACGGGGTATGATTTTCTTTGAATTGCTGCTTCTCACACCAGATTCTTAAGGTGAAGGTGAGCAGACTTTGTGACACTTTGGCTAAGATAACTGGTAATCTATGCTTACAAATCTGTGTTAAGAAATATAATCTCTCTTCTCTTACTGAAGATTTTGCTTATTTACAGTAGAACCTCTGCTGTGACCCACTTATTAGTGCTCACGAGGAAGCATTATTTTCTAAAAGAAGAACACAAGTGTGTGCAAATTTAAAAGTATTATATATTTTCTGTCTTCACAGTCATTATACGATTTTTTTTCACACTGACTGGGGAACTATTGGCTTAAGCTTGTGTAACTTGATACTGCAATGATATGTACATATGATTATGCTTCTTAAAGTATGTTATATTTGAAATATCAAACAAAGTTTGGTATTGTATTTTCAGGATTGTTTTATCTTTTCTGCTGTTGACACAGTTGATAAATTGAGACACAAAACAGCTTGTGAAACATGCAGTTAGCTGTAATTATCCCAGTCTGCAAATCTGCGTACTGTACGTCCTTTATGTATTAGTTGTGCACATTCCTTGCATACACACGTGCACTTTTGTCTACACACATTTAAACACACGCCCTCGCGATTCTGCTCAAACACATGCTGCCCAAATGGGCACCTCGTACACATGTGAAGAAACAGACTTGACGATAGTGATCATACACCACATCTCAATCCCGCCTTCATGCCATTAGGCTGCCAGCCAACCACTGACTGCTTTCCATCGAAATCGCAAATGTTCCCAGACACAGCTGAGAAATGGCACGTAGCACAGTTTAGATGTTTTTTCACAAAAATCTTCCCGTCTTTGCACACACACTTTGCAAAAAATAAGTTTCCCAGTTTCACAGGCAGTGTGCCTGTGAAACTGGGAAACTTATTTTTTTCTTTTCCATTACTCAAGAATATGTGGAGAATTTATTTTGATATACAAATGTTCAAACACAAACAGTTTCACCTGGAATGACTCTTAACTGTAGTCTTCCCTTAATGGTGGTGTCAATAGCTGTACTCTCATGAAAGCTGTCAGCTCTGTTGCTGCTGGAATATGAAACCAATAATTACAGTAGAAATCCTTTGACTGAGGCTGCATTAGCTTAACGTAGTGTTGATTGATTCCTGGCTACATAAACATGTTCCTCATGCTCACTTTAGGTTTTTTTGTCTGTGGTGATATACCCATCAACATATTAACCAAATTCTAATCTGAATTGATGATTATTACATTTTGACCTGACAGCCCTATGAAAAAAAAGGAGCAATCCCCCCGCAAGATTTCAGAAATTCTTTTTATTGGACTTGAACTTTAAATGCAAAAATTGAATACTTTGAGGAGTAGACTTTAAAGAGCAATTACAAGTGTATTACTGAATGACAGCAGACTAGGCTTTAACTATAATTGGTATTCCACATTTATGGCATGATTTTAAGTCTTTGCCACTATCCATCGTAACTTCAAACCCGGTGTGATTGAGTTCAACAAATACACTTGAAGAATAATGCTCTAATTAAATTAAAAATTTTACCCTCCATGACCTCCTTGCTATTGAGGCTCAAAAGCTGGGTGTGAAACCTGTGATTTTTTTCATTATTGCATAAAGAGATAATTTTTTCCAGATATTCTCAGTCAATTTGCTCAGAACAAAATGAGATTTTCTAAAATAGAATTTAATATCTTCCATAAAAACACTTCAGCCATCCTCAGAAATACCTATAAACTCACACTATGGAGGAGAAAACAAATTTATCGCCAAGACCATTTTTGCTCTTTCATCTTTTTATTTTTCACTGTCTGCCAGGGCATTTTTCTTTTACAGCACAGTTAAAACGTGTTTCAGACAAAAAAATCCCTAACTGACTGTGTTGTTATTTGTGATTCATTCGTTTCCAATGAGAGGTTGCCCAAGAGGCACATTTATGTCATTTAATGCTCAATTTTCAGGGGCACTGGAAAACAGTTAACAGGATGCAAATTATATCCAGAATAGCATCTCAAACCACATACAAATTCATACAGTATTGTGTGATGCTATTCATATCTTTGCATAATATCTTTATAAAGGTAAGGCTGCCATATGTTCCCATATAAATCACAATTGATTAATTGGGTATAAGAATGTCATGAAACTGAGCATCTGTGTCCTATGATCCAATTGACCATATTTATCCCTCCAGAATTTTAATCTATTCACTGAGGTTCAATCAGAGAATTTGTCAGGGAGGTGGGTCTTGGAGGGAGGACTCAGTTGCAGAGATGAGGGGAACAAGGTTTATTGCACAAAAAAACGGAGTGAATGTCCAGACAAAGTACAAAGCAAAGCTGTGGAAAACTGTGGGCAAAGTATCAAAGCAAAGCAAACAAGACTGTGGCAAAACTATGACAAAATAACAAAATAAAGATTAACAAGACTGTGACAAAACTGTGACTATGGCAGAACTATGACGAAAACAAACCTGGCGTGGGGGTGACGAAACAGACAAGAGACGAAAACGCACTCGCGCCAGACAAGGGGAAACAGGACTATTTGAACACATGAGGGAAGGGAACCCCAGGTGTACACAATAGGTAATCAAGACGAGACACCAGACATTCCCCCAGACGTGACAGAATTTTGCTTATCACTCTAAAGTATATTTAAACAACCAGTCTTTTACATACTGAATTACTGTGGCTTATAGTGCTTATCATTTTTTAAAACAGTTGTTTTTCAGTAAAAGTGGTTGAGTTGTTTAATGTTTTACAAATAGCTGTTCATTAAAACAGCTATGCAGTTTATGTAAACATAAATTGAACAAGTAACTCCTAAGATGGCAGCTAGCAGAGGATTTGAATAGTTAACAGTCTACTTTAATCTGCCTCCGTTAGCTAAAAACCTATCTGCTAATGAGTAGTATCACTTGCAGTCTACTTGGTTCTTTAAGATAGTACATTATATTATATTATAACATATTTATCAATTTTCAGAAACTTTTTAATTAAAGAGGATGAACAAGCTAATATTGCCATGTTTACATACTGCATACAAACTTGTCATTAGCTACCGTTACTTGCAATGGGTCCAAACCAGATCAAACTGGTTGTAAATACTGAAGGTAGAGCAGTATTTTTTATGCTGAAAGAGGTATTCATATAAGAACATTTGAAAAAATCTCTAAAAATATCTGTAAATGTAACTGCCTGTTCTATAAGACATGAAAAAGCTGTGAAAGCTAAACTAGCCAATCAAATTTATTTGGTGAATGACCAAAAATTACTTCTTGAAAGATTTGCTTGCTTATCGATAAAACATGCATGTACAAAAAATAGTGCAGATTTCCAACCATAAAACCCTGCTTATCCACTCACATTTGTGTATTAACTCCTTCTCTTTTTCCATAAGGTGAAAATATGGTTCCAAAACAAACGATCCAAGTATAAGAAAATCATGAAGAATGGGCCCTGTGGACCTGAGGGAGACCACCTCGCTCCCCCAACACCTTCTTCTTCATCTCCATGCTCCCTGTGGGACATCAATATGGCTGCCAAAGGTGCGCCAGTGCACTCAGGAGGATACATGAACAATTTTGGACACTGGTACCCCGGACATCAGCAGGACTCCATGCCAAGGACTCAGATGATGTGACATACATGAAGATGCAACACCTCCGGGACAAGCTGTGGAATTACACCAGCAGAGAACAAAACAAAACAAAAAAAGAAATTGTGACATGAAAACTGGCACCCTTTATATTAGCAGTGGCATTAAACTGTTTGTTTGTAGGAGGAGGAATATAACTTTAGATAACTCAGAAAACTGACAAGATAAAAACTAATGGTAATGTCTGCCACCATGCTGTTGAACCTGCCAAGATAAATTGGATAATATTAAAACTGAAATGAAAACTCTGATAAAATGCATCTCTGATTCTACATGTCTTGAGTTTTTTTTAAAACTATTAATTGCTGTTTCAATGATACAAAAACAATGTGTGCTTTTGGCCTTTTTAATTACTTTTTAAAGCAGAATTTGTGACCCTAGCTGTTTGATAATGATCACCAAATAAAAGAACAAAAAAAGTTTTTTGTGCTGACTGTTGACTGTTAAAGTCCCATTAAGATGTTGTGACATTTGATATTATTTATCCAGATGTTGTTCCTCTGAATGTAATGCTTTAAAAAAAATAACCATTACTTTTCCAAAGGCCAAAAACCAATCCACTGTCTGTTTTTTTATTTGACATTATTCTGTTTCTGTTCAAGACAAGTTATTGCCACACTATCAAAACATAGAAGAAACTCAGGTGTCAGTTAAGTTCTTGCTAACACTAAAACATTCATTTTCAGCCTGAGGCCTGTGTGATGCCTTTAAAGTTTGTAAATCAGAAGAAGTAAGTTTTGTGTAACGCCCCCACAAACATCTGGAAACGCAAAACAGTTGTCAAACGTTGTCAATGATTTTTCTTTTTTCGAATTACCATGTCAATTATAGGTAATTCAGGACACAGTTTGTTAAATAAAGCCTTCACAATGACGTTGTAATTATGTATAATTGTGAGTCAGGGGAATATGCTTCTGCCTCAGGTCCTCAAGAAAAGATGAGAAAGGAATGGATTACTGAAGGCTAATCCTCACTAATCGACCTGTAGCATTGATATTATAGCCTTTCTCAAAGTTTTTATTAAGATTTAAGTACGTACAAGAACAACTTTTCCACTAATGTGCTAGAGTAATTCAGATTTTGAATGGCAAGATGGACTTGCTGAAAATTGTGGCTCTATAAGTCTCAGGTATGGCCAACAAATAAATAACAATTACATAATAGCAACATTATGGTGACATGTTGTGCCAAATAATTTTATCTATAGTAATCTTTGTTTTTAATTGTCTTTTTGCAGTTTTTCAAGATAACTTCCATGCCTCCTGCATTTTACAGTTTTAACTAAATATCTTTAATTTTACATTTTTCTTTCAATCAGAGTCTTTCCTAGTCATCTTTAGTTTATTGCAGGTAGTCGTACATCATCCTCATCTTGTTTTGGGGGAGTCTCTTCCTCGGGCTGTTTCCTGACGTTTGATACAGACATTTCTCTGATTCTGGCATTCTGAAGTCTCAGAATTTTAGCAATTTCTTGCTAAACAGTTTGCATTGATAACAATTTAACCAGAAGCCCAAACAAATTTGTTTTAAAACTGTGTTAGCAAAATAGTGGATCATTTGGATTGTCTGCAAACTTTTGTCCTGTTACTTCATGACGTTTGTTTTCATCCCGCAATCCAGTATCATGATGATGAAAAGATGACTGCGCTGACCTCTACTTAAATAGCAACATTGTAATATAAAATCTGTCCATTTAAGGATCAATGCATCACTTAACTTATCAGCGCATAATTTTTTTCACTGAATTTGTGCTAATGGACACCTTCCTTTCATGCAGTACAAAACTATTAAGCTATTCATAGGCCCTATTACCTGTTAATGGTGTGCTAGCAGGGGCACAGATCTCCTTCTGCCAGAGGAGAACTGTGGCTAAATCCTTGAACCTTGCTTGCAAACAACTTCAGGTTGTTGGTTCTGGTTGAGAATAAACTTTTAAGGTTCCAATCCAGCCTCTTACTTTTTTTGGTCTGAATGCCCATGTCACCCTATTTGAAATTAAGTTTTGGAAATGACAGGAGCCCAGTGTGAAAAGCCATTAAATCGATCTCTGCATTCAACTAAAATCAGTCAACAGAACAATTTTAAGATTAGGTACAAAGCTATATATAGGTATCTCTTTCATAGGAATGAACTTTGTGATATTTAGCAACGTTTGTTAAGTATTGTTTTAAGCTTTCTGTTAATGACTGCATGTAAAAAAAATATATATATATAAAAATTGCACAAAAAGCTGTGTAAAAATGCCCTAAGATTGTTAAATTACATTTAAGTTTCGGAACGTGTTGTGCATAAAACTTGACTCAGTTCAGTTTGGTGTATATTCAAATTTTATGGGAACAGCTGTGTTACTTTTGAAAAAGCAATGATTTTACATTTGTATTCCTATACACTATAAGCTTTATCAACTGTTAAATCAGTCCCCTTACGATGGTTATCTTTTAGTCTGAGGAATTCTGCATTTGAGGAGAATTTTGCATGTTCTAAGTTTGGCTAGAACATATATGACTTTTGAAGAGGGAGTCATATAATGATACTTAACATTGGAAAATATCGGTTCTCTTGCTGTAAGTATTCCCAAAAGTTGCAAGGTTTTCTAAAACGTACCAAAAGCTTACGTTTTTAACCCTTGACCATCCTGCTCAAACATTTTATAGAGCACTTTTTTCACTGATTATACTTAGTCATAGGTCTAACTAGTTCTAAATTCCTGAATTAAGCATGAGTTCTGACATTTCTTTTTAAAAATAATACAGTTTTACCATGAAGTGTCACTCCAACTATCTATGAAAAAAGCATTGATTCTAGTCTAACTCAAAGAAAGGTTCAAAGAAGTGTAGATGTTCAAGGTTTAATACAACAATTCCATTTACAGAACAGCCAATTACTTGCCTCAGCACAACATGGAAAATACTATCACAAAGTGGCTAAGAGAATGGGCTCAAAATGTCAGTGATGTTCTACATAGTCCTAACCCCTCCTCAGCCACATAATCACAAATAGTGGTTATGGATACAGATCTGAAGTGGAGAAACCATTAGTTACCTATTCTACATGGACCACGTTAAACTGTCCCAAGACTGGGGGAGACATAAACTCAATGATAGACCACACTTGGACGTACAGGTGTCAGGATCCCGTCTAGACTAAATAAATTGACCAAATTATATTAAAGGCAAAGGTATAACTGAAGGGGTTAAACTACAATATCCAAGAATATATGCATGTGCTTTGTTGTTGTCCTCGACCTAATCAATGTATATATGTATATCTTCCTCTTCCATTTATTCATCAATGTGTTTATGTGTACCATCATCACCCTCAATATATGGATATATGGACAGTTCCAACACTAAATGTTTGGAAACATCCACTCGTGTAAAATGTATTTATAGATATGTGTCCAAACTTTTGTATAAAAATGGAAATTATAAGAAAAACCTAATAATAAAAATGTTATCTCCATCGCCTCACAGCGGAGGGTTCCTGATTCAAATCCCCTGTGGACCACGACCTTTCTGTGTGGAGTGTCCATGTGTCTGCATGGGTTGCTTCCAGGTACTCCAGCTTCCTCCCACAATGCATGCTGTTAACTGAACACCCCTAGGAATGAATGTGAGGCTCTATGGTTGTTTGTCTCTGTGTGGCCCTGCGCTAGACTGAAAGATTGTCCAGGATATACTGTGCTTCTTGCCCATTGTGGGCTAGGAGAGGCTCCAGCTCTCACCATGAAAAAGTGCCAAAGTTAATGAATGGATTGATAATAAAACTTTTGGTACTGTATAAATACAATCCAACAAATGTCTGTGTGAGTGTCTGTGAGTTTTTGATGTTTCTGTTAAAAGTAAAAACACATAAAAGTATAATTTTATTGGGTGACCTAAGAAAATGCTAATGATGTCTTTCACTGAAAATTTTGAAAACTGTTGTCTGTGGTTACAAATCAGCAGATGAAATACATAAGACTCACATACGTCAAATCCTCACAAGTACATTTCGCTGCAGCCTCGGTTGGATATAAAAATGGCCGACTTGGATATGGGCGGAGTAGGATATCCAACAGACGCTGCAGCAAAAGGCTTCTCTCATATTTTGGGTCATTCTCTTTACAGTCTTTGCAAGAGGAAAGTAGGGAAATTATAAAGACATTCTGTCACTGTGCATGTCCAAGTAAGATATGGAGATATGGATGTATTGTTTCAACATAAGCATTACGTTATTTCGAATTAACTCTTCAGGGGATAGAATTTCAGCAGGGCATTCACATACACCAGGCTATCTTTCCTTATAACTCGGCCATTACGAATTCCCAAAAATATATTGTCTCGTCAAACATTAGATTGTTTAATTCAGTTTCAAATGTATTCATTGGAACTAAAGGCCTGCTATGTCATTTCTCTGTATTAATATCCCCTTAAAGTAATAAATTAGTGGCAGTAATCTTATCAAGTCATGATGCTACTGCATGGCCTGAACAAGAGATCGGTAGAATGATAAACCAATTAATGCACTGTTGGGATCAACTTGAAAACTTTCTTCTTTTTCCTCTCTAGTCTTTCGGAGACAGTTAACTCTTGTCCTTTCAACAGAAAATGCATGTAGATTTCCCACAAAATGGGAAACATAAATGGCCTTTATTTATTCAAACTCATTTATGTTACAATATAATGGTGGAAGAGGGAAATATAACTTTAATTTTAGTTTTTCTTCTATAGAATTTTCCTATAAGGATCAAAACAGCTCTCACAAGCAAAAACACACACTGGAAGGCCCCTGATTATTTAATTTGCGACTGAGAGCAGCATCCTGTTGCCCCCTGGCAGAGTTCACACCACAGAGTTTTATAGAATACACACATGGACATAGACACATGATATTGTCCTAATGAACTAGCGGAAGCTTGGTTGGGGCTAATAGAATGTGGCAATGCAACCATGTCTGCTTAGGAGAGGCCAAAAGAGAAAGAAAAGAGTATAACAGATAGAAAG